ACACACACACACACACACACACACACACACACACACACACACACACACACACACACACACACACACACACACACACACACACATATATATATATATATATAATTTTTCTACACGCGTCTCCGTGATAATTACAGTTCAGTGATGAAAAATGATATGATAATTTCGCGGGATTTACAGGAGCGTCCCGCGACGAATTAAACGCGGCGAGACGCGTTTATTTTATCATTTAGAATAATAATTTTGTTATTTAGAATAAGACGCAGGCTCGGCGCAGAGAGAACTTCCGCGAGATTTTCGCGACAGACGCGAAGCGGCAGCCTCCCGCGGTAGAAACGTACTGCGCGCGAGGAGAGAATCGGTGCTCGGCTCGACACACGACACGGCACGGCACTTATCGCGCGGGGGCCGATAACGCGGATAAGACACGAGGTCCTGTGACTTTCCGAGAATCTCGACACCGCGATCCTCGAACGCGAGACGCAAGCGTCATCCGCGCGCGGCTGGAACTGCGCTGGCGAGAGGTGTTCACGATCACGTGACTGATTAGCGCGCTCCCGCGCGCACGGCGGAGGTCGTCGGGTGTCACCGATCGACGAAGGAAAAAGACGATTGCGAAGCACCGATGGATGAGACACCGAGACATCGCGCGTTGCATCGATGACGAGCAACCTTCGTGGCGATTCACGAACGCGCAACGACGCGCCGCGACGTGACGCAACGCCGACGGCCGCGGCGGCCGATTCCGCGTGACTGATCGCCCGCGGTACGCCATGATGCGATCGCGTCACTCTTGGCGGGATTATTCGACTGGCGTGCCTTATCAGCGCCGGCAAATCCCGCGGTACTTAATTATGAAATTAATCCCGGGATGGATACCTGGAACGGCATATTGCACCGCGTCGACTTCGCGGAATTCTTGCGAGTTTACATACGCGAACAATGCGGAATTTATCGCGCGGAATGAACGCGGTTTTTGCTAACAAATCTATAAAATTTGATCAGATGCAGATCTGAAAAAAAAATTTTTTTTATAATTTTTAAGATTCAAATTTTGTTTTGAGCCATAAAAAGTGTTATATATAAGATAATTCAAATTGGTTGCTGGAAGATGAAAAATTTTGACAGTATCATGTTTAAGTGTCCTACATTGATGATCCAACAAAATGATTTGTCAGATCTGTATCCGAACGAAACTGGAGTCTCTCCGTGTCACTGCAATAAAATACGTGCGTGATAAAAAAACTTTTTTTTAACAGACAGATATGTAAATTACGATAAAGTGGCTCACCGGTTATTCCACTTCTGTCGCTCGTTCGAATTCTACTTTTGTCGCGGCGCGCCTCTGGTATCGTTGCATAATGGACATAATAATTTTCGTGTCCCGAAGGATCGTTCGGATAATTGGTCTCACGTGACAAAGATATTCGATATGTTCACCAGCTGCCGCATGTGGCTTGTAAACTACTGAGCTGTGACAACATGAATACATGAATAAGAGATCAATGTAATTTCGCGTCGCTCTCTCAAACATGACTTCATGTTTTAATGAATACGTCTCATATTAATAGCAATCCTAGTGTTACGGATTAAAGTACAGCTAGTTATTTTCCATCAACTACAATTGACGCTGTAACTGTCGTTTAATAAAAAATTATTATCGACACGTGACAGCGTTATGACATATGCATTGTTTTAATATGCGGATTTTGTTAGGCCTGAAATAATATTTGGCTTACTCTTACTGTTTAAAAATGTAATCAGGATTATATTTTATTCTATTATTATGTATGGAAATAGAAACGTGTTAGACAATATCGATCGTGGCCACCTCTTGCATCATTCCTGTCAGTATTAAGGATGTATTAAACTTATTTTTATAATATTTATATTTAATGAAAAAATTATAAAGTATTTACAAATTATTTTAAATCGCGTTTGAAAATTGACAAAAGAGATTAGTTTTAAAACTTGGATCAAAAATTATTTAAATAAATGAGTAGAAGTATGCTTTAATAGAAATGTAATCAAGACATAATGACAAAAATCTCCACTTTTTATATATAAATATTTTAAATATTCAACGTTATTCATATAAAATTTCATTGCAATATTGAAATTAATTATTCTGTAAATAAAAGTTTCATTTTATTTGTATCATTACTTTGTTTGTATCTTTAATAAAAATTTTTATTTATAAAACACCTTGCAACTTGAAACTTTACATAAATCACTTTAAATTCTCAAAGTATTTGTGTAAAAAAATTGAAATTTGTGTAATTATTTCTCGATTACACTTATATTACAATATTTCCGCTTTATATTTAAATAATTTTTTATCCAGATTCTAAATCGCCGTAAAATTTTTAATATCTAACATCTAAATATAATCTAGACTAGAATCCATAATTTTTTTCATAATTTTTTCATTGTAAATAAAAATTTGCATTACATGTAGATGTATGTAATATATTCTTAAAACTGGAAGCAATCGGATCTCAGATACTATGCGCATTTCGCCTAATCACAGGTAAAACAGGTTCCGCGTGAAAAAAGACGGAGAATGCGGAAACAAATATTTATTAATTTAGCCAGGGCTAAGGCTAAGGTTATACACATTTGGAATTTAATAAATCATAGCGGGTGTTTGTTAATAATGCGAATAAGTTTCCGCCGGTTTATTTCTTCAGCGCTATTACGCTGCCCGTTTCCGAGAAACTTTCAAAGCTCTGCCCTTGATATTCGTGCATGGCATAATCGGGAATAAACGTTTGCACAGCCTGTGCGCAACTAGTGTCGTTACAATGTAAACAGTCACATGTATGCATAGATACGACGACGAGAAACCCCCCCTCCCCCGCCCCGATAAAAACGTCAATGTAATCGACGAATGCATCACACTCGGGATATCAGAACCGCTCCGCTGAAAAAAATTTTTTTTTCTTACTCGATGGGACGATGTTTGCAACGAAGAACGATAGTTCTCTAGTTGCAATCAAAAATATAAATAGAAATACATAACCGATAATAATACTGAAACATTAATAAATTTAAATGATTATTACATCATATCATGAAATATTCAACAAACCGCCTCGGATTGCTAATTGTAATTGAATCCTGAATGTTTAATCTTAACAAACAGATGAGGCCTATAATAATAATAATAATAATAATAATAATAATAATAATAATAGTTATAGT